CCGGCAAGTTCGGATAAACACCTCTAACACGTAAAGTTCATTTGCTGTTGAACTTTTCTGTGTAAAAAATGTAGCATCTTAACATTTAATGAAGATATATAGTTTGTATGTTGCACATGCATGTGTAAGGGGGGATGGCAGGGTGGATATGAATGCTGAAACATTTGAGTTTATTTTTCCTTTTTTTTTTTTGGAACGTTTGAAAAATTACAAAAGGTCTGCCCTTCCCCTTTTGACATTAGCTCCAAACCTTTTACATGAAATTGAAATGTTCATTGCATTTCATAGTAAATTTGTGTTAAAAAAGAAGTGAAAGATCCTGGACTAAGAACATACCCCCCCCCCCTTCTGCGAACAAAAATTGTCTGTCTTTTTCGCCTGTCAAACTCTTTTCAAGCATAGACCTAAAATACTTTAGGTCTGTGTTTCAAGTAAGTTTAACCCCCCACCCTTCAAATTTGATTATATTCTAAGTGACTGCTAGCGAATTTCGTGAATAAGAGACTGAACATGACATAGCAGCCTGTTTTTAATAATAGGGGATTTATTATGAATTATATATATCGTTTATGGTAAAAATTGTGTATTTTAAGTGATTGAATATTAAATAATATATCCCGTTTTCCGTTCCGTTCCGCTTTCCGTTCCGTTTTCCCTTCCGCGTTTTAGCAACACCCCCAGAAGAGGAGCCAGAAACCTCTGTCGAGACTGAAGCACTACTGGTTTGTACTTATAACAAAGGAAGAGAAAAGTATTTAAGCAGTTGAAAATTGAAACTTTACAACAGCAATAAAAAGAATAATGATCCTTGATTAAGTCTCTTTATGTTTTTGGTGTAGTCTACTTGCATGCCACATTATATCATAATCAGACTAAAACTGTATTAGGAGTAGCATCTTGAGAGTATTGAACGGAAATTTCTATTTTTAGTAACCAAGGCAATAATGTTCATGGAAGTCAAAAACCAATATACAGAATTGTGTATCTAATAATCTTAGTTTAGTCTACTTGTGTGCCAAGTTATATTGAAATGAGACCAAAACAGTAGGAGACATAGCATTTTGAAAGAATTTCACAGAAATTTCTATTTTTAGTAACCACGGCAACACCGTTATCAAAATCAAAAACCGATAAAAAGAATTATGTTCCTTAGTGTAGTCTACTTATATGCCAAGTTAAACTGAAATCAGACCAAAGCTGTATGAGGGGTAGCATTTTGAAAGAATTTTACAGAAATTTCTATTTTTAGTAACCACGGCAACGCCGTTCATCAAAATCAAAAACCGATAAAAAGAATTATGTACTTTAGTGTAGTCTACTTATATGCCAAGTTAAACTAAAATCAGACCAAAACTGTAGGAGGGGTAGCATTTTGAAAGAATTTCACAATTTTCTATTTTTAGTAACCACGGCAACACCGTTTATCAAAATCAGAAATCGATAAACAGAATAATGTATCTTAATAAAGTCTACTTGAGTGCCAAGTTATATTGAAATTAAACCAAAACTGTGGGAGGAGTAACATTTTGAAAGAATTTCACAGAAATTTCTTTCTTTAGTAACCACGGCAACACCGTTCATCGAAATCAAAATCCGATATTCAGAATTATGCATCTTAGTGTAGTCTACTGGTGTGCCAAGTTATATTAAAATCAGGCCAAAACCGTAGGAGTAGCATTTTGAAAAATTGTATACAGACGCACGGACGCCGCATTACTATCGCATAAGCTCTAAATTCAAAATTATTTAAGATATAAATTAGATGCCCTCATAAGCCAGATGCATAAAGAGGATGATGAAAATGAAAAATTCGAGACCTGATGAATGAACACCTACAGGATGCCGCCAATCATATTCTATAGATGATATGGCTTCTGCGAAAAAATGAAAGGACAGACAGAAAATATGCATTTATTAAGAAAAGACCTGTCATGTTGTAAATTTTGAATTTACCGGGTGGCAGTAAATACAAAATTTACAAGTTGTCATGTTGTAAATTTTGTATTTACTGCCACCCGGTAAATTCAAAATTTACAACATGACAGACCCCTAAGGAAATGAATATACTGAATAAAATAAATTGCGTATCTTTTAGACTCCACTAATCATTTTCCAAAATAACTCTGCAACTCGTAAAATGTAAGGAGAAATCTTCAATCTCATGTAATTGTTAGAGAAAAAAATTAAGGATCGATTTCGAATTGCAGAGTCAATTTCAACAATTGTTGGTCTATGTTACATTTTTGATGATATAGTTGGTGAAATTGATAAATACTGCACAGAATTCCTTGAAAATGAACACGCTAATTTAATTTTTTTTAGCCAAATAAGGTTCTCAGGAATGTAAAATACGGTACCTGGTGACTTAGTAACATATCTACAGTTATATTCTCCTTGCCATTCTTCCCAAACTCCGGCCAGTAATAGGACACCCGCTTCTTGTAGTCCAAGTAGCCTCTGAAGTAAAGAAAGGGTACAGGTGAAACATTTCATGATTACGTAGTTGACTCTAACTAAGAAATAAAAACTGTTATTCTTAAATGATTAGAATGTACATACATTTGTTAGAATAATTTATAAATGTAATAAGCAAGCACAGATATCAAGAGATATTATATAAATATTGCATGTAGTTGAGTGTAACATTGAAAATTTTCACCCCAAGAAAACCATTGTCAACCGAGGCGCAGCCGAGGTTGACAATGGTTTTCGAGGGGTGAAAAGTTTCAATGTTTCACTCAACTACATGCAATATTTATTATATTATACTGAATATTTTATACAAATACATATTACAGTGAACCGTGCGCGCATAAATTCCGCGCAGTCGCTATTTTTTGTAATACCACCCGTTGTCAAGCAATGTTGACTGTTGCTACGCAGGAGGGCGTGGTTTCATTATTCAGCGGGTAGTAGTGTTTTTTATCAAATGTTTCTCGACGAATCAGATTCAAGGAATTTACATGAAAGTATAATATTGAAAATTATCGTGTGTTAGAATCGGATCTTATCTTTAAGAATATTCGAAAAAACTTCGAAACTAGAAAATTTTTTTGAAATTCTTGAAAAACAAATATTTTCACATTTGTCACACTTTATCTCTGTGTTGAATAATGTCCTCTATATTTTGGAAAAACTTTGACTATGTATGTTAAAAAAAAACACCGACAAATGATATGTTACAGACTATATCACTTTTGCAGACAGGAAGAGGCAAAAAAAATGCCAATTTCGTTTTGATTTCACCTTTGCACGAAGAGTGCCACGATGATGGCGGTAACTCCTTTGGTTGTAGAAAACATGATGGACAGGGTGTCATTTTGCCAGGGCCGCCCCGCCTCAATGTCCGAGTATCCGCCCCATAGATCCACCACTAACTCCCCCTTGTAATAGGCAGAAAAACAGGCCGCCTTCTCTCTGTTTGTCTCGATGTTTTCCCTGGAAGAGAAAGTGTTGTACATAATGAAGGGTTTTTTAACATTTAACTTTTCAACCTTTTTTAATGATTGAAACTTACAATCTTGAAGTAGTTTATCTTAAATACTTTAATGTTACGTGACAGGTTAGGCAAACAATTACGATAACTAACCCCTAGCTTTCTCATTAGTGAAATAAATTGGGCGTAAGACGAACTTTTTGAAATATTATAATTATTGTTTATTTGATTCTTTTTGCATGAAGAAATTTCAGGACATTAATATACACCGCCCTTGAAATGGAAAATAAATTGATGCAATAATGTAGCCCTGTCCCTTTTTTTTTATTTTGGGAGAACATCAGATTTAAAAAAGGGCTACATTATTGCAGTTAGAATTTGAAAATTAAGAGCACTGACTGTTGTTTCTTGTCAATTCAAACAATCTTATTCCGTGTCTTTGTATAGAAAGCAAGAGTTAACAGTATGTTGGTTTCTGTGGTTGGAGGTCTTTTGAATATATAGTAAAAATGCCTGATTTCACCAAATGTTTCTTTTCTGCTACTTGGTACTAAACAAATTAACAAACCAAGTACAAAGTTATTTTGAGTAAGACAGGCTTTTCAAAGTAGTGAATTTTAGGGCCCCTGTGTAAGAGCAGGGCTCTTATTAACGTATAGTAAAATTGCATTGATAACTGTGAAATCACTAATTTTCGTGGGGGTTGAATTTTCTTTGTTATCGAGGTATGAAGAGACCAACGAATTCACGTCCACCACTAAATGTAAATTTTCATATGCACAACTACTAAAAAGTTCTCCATCCACGAACCAACCAACGAACCAACATTTTTTCCTCAAACCACAAAAATTTGACCCCACGAAAATATGTGATATTACAGTATTTGAAATTCGCTTCTGATCGAGGGCCTGAATATTTAGCAGATAAACTAAGTACATTGTGAACTTTTTCATGAACAAGAATGTCTCTTCCAAAACTGTAAAACATGTGGCACCAGAGTCGATCGATTGATTGATTGTATATACTGTTTAACGTCCCTCTCCAGAATATTTCACTGATATGGAGACGTCACCATTGCCGATGAAGGGCTGCAAATTAAGGCCTATGCTCGGCACTTACGGCCTTTGAGCAGGGAGGGATCTTTATCGTGCCACACCTGGTGTGACACGGGGCCTTGGTTTATACGGTCTCATCCGAAGGACTGCCCCATTTAGTCGCCTTTTACGACAAGCAAGGGGGTACTGAGGACCTATTCTAACCCGGATCCCCACGGGATCTCTGGTGTTATGTGTGTGTCTCTTAAATTATAGTGAAAAAGCATTCTTTATTTTAAAGGCTTTTCCTGTGCCTGATTGCATGGTTATGATGAGTTAAGTGCCTTTTGAAAAAATTTAAAATTCATTATCCCTGGGTCGGGTGTTTTGATGTTAGGGTGTTTTTTTTTAACATATAGTAAAAATGTTTTTATTTCTTTGAAAAATCCTCTCTGACAAAGGGTATTTAACAAAAATAGTAATACAATGTATATAGTTACGATAAGCAGGAGCGATTTTTCCTTTGTGAATATCTTGGGTGATCATTAGGGACCGTGAAATTACAGCACTGTTTTATATGTTACATCTATGATAAAAATGCTTATTACTTAGAAAATCCTATAGGCATCTATAGGAGGTCATTAAAGTATGAAATGTTGTGATAAGAAATGGTATTTTACCAGTTTTGAAACTCTGAACCACTTGGACGATATATAAATTCTTTTGAAAGAAGTTATTTCTCTTTAATTGATATTCACGTAATATTATTGTAAGTCATTGTAAATAATGTTATTGAAACATCAATTGGATAAGAAATTCATACAAGATTTTTCATATTAAAAAAAACTTTTATAGATTTTTTAACGTACGTATACGCCATATACTAGTAGACATTTAAACTAGATAAATACATAAGAGGAAAATACCTATGTTATTATTTGTACTTTATTTGTTCTTCAAAGGCTAAGAGGGGTCATGTGAGAAGGATTGAGATGGCTCTAGTATTAGTGGTCAAGAACTGTTGTTCAGTTTCAGCCTACACAGGGATGGTGACAAATGAAGGCAAGACACGGAAGTATAAACAGATCAACTTTTAGATTTGTTAATGACCATTAAATTAATCATTTTGTTAACCTCAGACTATCCTACTTAGCTGTTGTTAAGAATACAGAACACTTATTAATTTTCACAACACAATTGAATATGTACGAAAGCCCATTGAGCTTATTTTGGTAAGTAAAAAAAATAAATTTTTCGCGATATAACGCGTAACTTTCGCGAATAAACGCGTAACTTTCGCCTTATAAACGCGTAAGTTTCGCGTTATAACGCGTAACTTTCGCGATATAACGCGAAACTTCTGCTGTTTAACCAAGACATTTGCTTAAGTCTCAACTTTCTTTTGATTTTGTGATCAAGTTTTTTTTATCACAATGATAAACAGTTAAAAGCTATTTTAAACTTGGACTATCTCAGGCTACAAGTTTAAGTTTTTTCCCTATTGAATCCATCTTTACCGTCATGGATGGTCTTTCTCAGCGCTGTTCAAAGAATTCAAAGATTACGCGAGTTTTCCAAAAGTTAAACTTCAATCCCTATTTTGTATCATTGTTGCGGTGTTTTTCCTTTGATGATCGCGTGTTTTTATTTTTGATACATCATGGCTAACTGTGTCTAACAACCGTTATCTATCAAGATAGAGCACGCCAGGGTGATGATGAAAAAATTCTAAGAAATGACCCATGACCTTACACCGAATCATTAGGGGAAAAGTAAATACAAAGTAATGTAAACATAGTTAAGGAATACCTTCCCTAAAATAAAAAAAAAAATAATTTTGCACGTCGATTTTTAAATCCAAAATGAAATTCAGCGGGTTTAGAAATAAATGTTTTTGAATTTTGACTCGCGTAAACTTGAAGCGTAACAAAGCACACACAATGAACTACATGTACAGGTAATGAGGTAAATATTCCGAGCCGTCTTGTTATATTATTAATTCCAACACAAATCGAAACATCCAGTAATTTGAAGAATCGCCGTACATCTCGGTCAAAAGTGTCCATTTTCCCGTGCGGTATTCCTTGAACGTTTAAATTGCCTTTTTAGTAGTTTTACGAGTGTAAAGATTTAGTGACATAAAGAATTTTCCTTCATAATATAATTATTTTAGTTTGCATCGAGAATTGCCATAGTCACAACCGTCATCCATGGCGTTCAGACTTCAATGGCGAGGTAATCCAAAGTTTAAGAAATGCAGCGCTCTATACTTTTCGAATCACGTGCTCCTTTTTCATTGGTCAGATAAAATTGTATTATTGATAGATCATGGCTAACTCAGTGCGTGAGAATACAGTCGAACTAAGGTAATATAGGCATATATAGGTATAATATTATAATAATAGGTAAAGATCATGGGTAACTCAGTTCCTGGGAACAATGATACAAAACATTTGTATCATTGTTGCGTTGTTTTTCCTTTGAAGATCGCTGTGTTTTTATTTTTGATACATCACGGCTAACTGTGATCTAACAAACGTGATCTATCAAGATAGAGCACGCCAGGATGACGATGAAACAATTCTAATAAATGACCCATGACCTTACACCGAATAATTAGGGGAAAATAAATACAAAGTCATATAAACATACTGAAGAAAGACCTTCCCTAAAATAAAAAAAAATAATTTGTACGTCGATATTAAAATCCAAAAAGAAATTCAATCACACAGCGCGTTTTGAAATTAATATTTTTGACTCTCATAAAGTTGAAGCGTGACAAAGCACACAATGAACTACATGTACAGGAAATTGTGTAAATATTCCGAGCATTGTTTTATTAATTCCAACACAAATCGACACATCCAGTAATTTGAAGAATCGATGTACATCTCGGTCAGAAGTGTCCATTTTCCCGTGCAGTATTCATTGAACGTTTGGTATTTGGTATTTTCACGAGTGTTAAGATTAAGTGACATAAAGAATTTTCCTTCATAATTTCAGTTTGCATCGAGAAATTGCAATAGCATAAAATCATAACCGTCATCCATGGCGTTCAGACTTGAATGGCGAGGTTTAAGAAATGCATCGCGCTAAACTTTTTTCCAATCACGTGCTCCTTTTTCATTGGTCAGATTAAATTGTATGGTGATGAAATTTTGATAGATCATGGCTTACTCAGTGCGTGAGAATACAGAGTGGAGCTACGAGCTTTTAACGTAAAAGTGATAGATCATGCATGGGTAACTCAGTTACTGGGAACAATGATACAAAACATATAGAGTACCTTTTAACTCGTGCATCTTCAGATATCAGACTTGGGGGACAAGCCCCCTCATCTGATATCTGAAGATACACTCGTTAAAAGGTACTCTATATATTACATAGAGTACCTTTTAACTCGTGCAGCTTCAGATATCAGACTCGGGGGACAAGCCCCCTCGTCTGATATCTGAAGATACACTCGTTAAAAGGTACTCTATATATTACATTATAAATATAAAGATTATGAATTTCGGGGAAAATCACCCTTTCCGGTGTCTTTATTTATGCACTCTCTAGAAAATTTGAAATGATTTTATTTTATAAAGAACAAGATCTCAGAATTGTGAAAATTTGATAGTAGATTTTCATTTGTCTCCGTTAGATTCACTATAGAAATACGATATCGGAAAAATATTGACAATTAATTCAAAGTGTACAAACTCTGCCGTATATACCTTAATAGTTTTAATTTTTGGCCCTAGTCCACGAATTTCTCTATAACCCCTCCGGATATATTTGTAATTAACAACATACAATTATAATTGTTATTTAAATAGCATCATGTGACCGGTCAAGCTCATGAAGTGATACACTGTTCATTAACTTTTAAGTTATGTTTCTATCGGGTAAAACTTTTAGTCTAAAATGATTGATTGCTTAATTTACTAGTGGTACGGTTGTGCATGCAGAAGGTGTAACTTATTAAAAAACAGCCTGAAAAAAGTTTCAAGTAAAGATTTTTCTTAAAAATTCTTATTTATGGACACAAGGAAGCATGTTTGTTACAGTGTAAAAGAGAAACAGATATATACAAGATACACTCAGGCAATCCTTTAAAAAATGTTTGGCTGCCCTCTCTCGACCCACTGACTTCAAAAGGCCCGACTCAAAACTTTTTTATACATTCTAGAACACGATTTTTTTTTAATTTTTCTTATCCCGTCAACAAATATGTTGAAATTTTCTGGGGGGGGGATTTCCCCATCTATACCTAACGATCGACGCTAAGACGGAAGAAGTCAAACAAACATTATTTTAAAGATGGCCTCAGATATATACTAAGTATCAGATTCTGATTAGCTTGGTCAATAATTTCATACATTTACTTCCTGGTTATTGATCTGCACGATATAATGTAGCTATTATTGAAATTTAATCAAACTTTTAAGCAAAATTAAAAAAAAACATTGGGAAAAATTAAAACTTACTTGAATACATCGTAAACTTTCTGAAAAGCCGGGTGAACATATCCCCCCATAGAGGGCGGTAGATCACTCTCAAACCACCTAGAGCTCTGTAACAGTATAAGCACCATGAAGCCACAGGCAAAGTACTTCAGTGTTTTCAATCTGGTTGTTTCTTTTTGTTTTTCATTCATTATTTTCCTCCATCAAGTCGTTATAAACAGCATACCAGCGACCGTAATCTGTTGCAATGAAAAATATACGCTGTAACGATAGATATGTGATCTGCAACTCGCTGGTTTGACAAAAATCGTGAAGAATTTCAAGATAGCTACATAGCACTCATTAAAAGTGCATCCTAATATTGGAAGAAAAAGTACTCTGGATTCCGCATTTTTGACCGTTTATTAAAAAAAATCATACTAAAACAAGTTTGATATTGAATACATTTTTACTGCTTCCATAATTGGCACACAAAATGACAGTATATATATAAATCAATTTCTGAATCAGGAACGCATGCCATATGATAAACATCAGTTTGGGGAAATGCTACTAGTATGAAGTGGAAGTATAAAAATATGCAATGAAAACACGGTTAGTAAATTTTTTAGATGGTCAGGGAAGCAAAGGGATGGCGCAATTATGTAGAATACTAAATACACTTTTTTTTCAATGGGCGGCGCTATGTACAGCTCTCTGGTCGTCCATGCCACCTGATCCACAGTTTTATATATGCAGACTGAAAGTATAAAGCCTCAAATACATTTACATGTTAATTGTTTTTATAAAATAAAAAACACGACACTTCCTGATGTATCCGGGCTCAATGACGTTAATTCGTATACTAGTATACGAATCAGAGTTGTAAATACAATAATTTTAATTCGATATACATTAATCTGCCAAATTTGAACGTCTTGTGAGAGGGGAAAGACCTTGACTCAAGCGGTACTACTAATCTGCAATTGCATAACTTTCTATAAAGAGCTACCGCGTTTGTCTTATATTATTTAATATACTAGTATTTTAAAGGGAGCTTCCTGGAAATGATGGTAGCTTTTAAAAAATATTTTCTTCAGTAACGACTCTTTCATATGCAGGCTTTAATTTATTTTATCAAGAATATTGTCTATTTTCTATATTTACGTGAAGACTGCATTAATTTGGTTGTATTTCTTATACTTAATAAATTTTCATCTATATAGTTACAACTGATTATGCATGCATGACAATTTTCTGGGCTGTCAGTGTATGACTTCAGTGGAAGGAATTTCAATTTTATATGATATAATTTTTAAAAATTGAAACATTTACATTTAATATTACTTTTGCATACAAATGTTAATAAAAAAAAAGACGTTTAAGTTTCATGGGAATGCCATGGACATAATGGACTGTTGGAAACACGGGATAATTTATGCATAACGGGCACCAACCGCTGTGCAAAATATTCCAAGTTTGCATACCAAACAAATCAATTATAGAATAGCAACATATATATGATGATGAAATAAATAAATAAAGTACTATATAATTGACCCAGAAAGTGCATAACTTACTAAATTAAGCAAAAACTGCATATATATTATCTTCCTTGCTCCGAAATTTGTGGTAGATCACGTGCTACATTTATCGTCACATCCGTTAACTCACAATTACTTCTGGTTAAAATCTTATCATTAAATTGCTGTCTCTTTCTTCCGCCCCTCTCTCTCTCTTCTATTTTCTTTGACAATTAACATTCCCTTTATTTTTATTAATTATTTTCTATTGTTTCTAGGAATTATCTAGAGAATTGAATACTATGATTTTCTTGTTTCATATTTGAATATTTTACTTCAAAAAGACGTTAATGGTAGTCTAACAACCAAGCTCTGTGATAAACGTGTTTTTTAACTTTTCAATCGTCAGCTTCCCTTACTTTTGCAGCAAAATACCTTCATCAACTGCACACGGAGTTTATCTCTCTCAGTCGACTCTATGTGCAAGAAAATGTTCTATATACATATGTACAGTTTTTAAAACGAGTAAATTACTGACAAACAAGTTGATGAAACAAGAATATCAGCAGTCTCGTTTAAAGTCATCATTTCGTAAGCTCTATGGTCGATACAATGACCTTCTCAGCAAATTCAATTTATTATTGAGTCAAACGCTGACTGCTGTTTTTAATATTAATTTTAGTTTATCATTTACACACAGAATTGACGATGGATTTTCCGTTATTTTCTTATCATGACAAGGTGTGACCGGTCTGAAGGGGATACTCACTCCTCCATTGCGCCCGATCCCACCTCTAATGTTTTGGAGGTCCGTGTTTGCTCCGCTCCTATTTTGTATTGTTTAATGGACTTTTGAGCTTGAATATTGTTCGTTATCTCCATATATTTCATTAAGCATTTAGGAAGTACTTGACATGGAACTGAAGTGGTCAAGTTCACAAATAAATCGCCGCTTAAGTTAAAAGTACTTGGACACGAATTTGAAGTAAATATTTCTAAAAGTGTCTGTATAGTGTAACATATATGCTGCAATAGCATTTCAAGCAGAAATATTATCAGCGTGTCTTAAAACTTCTTTTATCGATATCTGGAGATCATTAAAACTACAAATTTCGGAGCGCGTTTTATTAACACAGATCCTGAAGATTTAAAGGGTACATTTTATCTTTTTAAATACTTAAGAAAAGTAGAAATTTTACGCTTAATTAAAAACATTTAAGGGGGCCGACTATAGTTTCCATTGCGCAATATTTCGCGCATCATAGTAAAATGAAGCGTATTTACTGTTTTAATGCAACTTTTTTTCGCTTAATTATTAAAATTAAACAAAATTAAGAAATTACAGGTATAAAAATGTAATCATAATTTGATATAACTGATTTTTTAACCGATTTTGCAATTGATAGGTAGGTTGACGTCGTTGCAGTGTGTTTTTGACGTTATGATAATCTGTAGCTTTTAAAGAAAGGGGTTATAAAAATATTATTAAAGAAAAAGTAATAAACATACGCTCTTGAAATTTGAAACATAGAAATTTGAGAATTTCTCCAATATTTTTATAATGTTTTCATGTAAATCCATTGTGTACGTCATATTTTGTAATACTCTATAAAAATAGTAAAATTTGTTAATTTTTCGCATTTTGAGATGCCCCCTCTGGTAACAAGACGGTAGAATTTTGTGTTTCTTACATATAATGTATGATATAGTATTACCCACCAAATATCATAGTTTGAACAAAACGTCTATTGTAGTATTTGTATAATTTGCTTTAAAGTGCTAAAAATTAGCATTTTCCTATATAATCCTATAGTAAATGTACCTGTATTTTGAGACGGTCCCTTAAAAATACCTGGACGGTAGATTTTCCCCAAACTTTGCATGTACACTGAAGTTAATGTAAGTTATAAATGGTATAAAAATGAAGAGTTTCGCTAATGTAGTTTTCACACAATAAAACTATAGTCGGCCCCCTTAAAATATACTTCTGTGAAGACTTTTCGGAAAGGACTCAGTCCGTGATCAGTGATCGATGTGTGGAAAAGTAAACACAATGAACAAACCCGGTAAAATGTAAACATTACCTTTACCGGTATGAAGATCGGTACACACGATAAGATTTTGATTATAATAGGAAATCTTACTGTGTATACATTCTTAATGCAATGAATCATAAAGAAGATGGGGGGTGTTAAGACGGGCAGAATGCCTATAGCGTCAAATATTAAGAAACCACATTTGATATGTAAATTGAGTATTTAAATTTACTTCTCATTATTGAAATTTTTGAAATTATGAGAAAAAAAAACCTTTCTGAGAGAAAATTAATCTCCTAAAACAATTTCATTTATAAAAATATTAGATGGTACAAGTGGGATTCGAACCCCAGAAATAAAATATTATACTGCTTTGAGTCTAACGCGCTAATCACTATACGCTACATGGCTCATGGTGTTTGTGGGTATTTCAATCATATTTGTGATATGACCCTTGACTTGAAGTATTTCTCGGAAAGATGCGAATGGTTTGTCATAAAAGTGTTCTTTTAAGGTCTTCGCTCCAATTTTTTTTTTTTTTTGTAAACCAAAAAATATTCGCAAACAAACCTTGTTGCACCATTTGATGCAACTGAGGTATATTTAGAGATGATATGAATTTCTTGCAATCTTGGTAGAGTTTACGGAAGTTCCAGTGGGTCTGGTTTTCGAATTGTCTAATTAATTAAAAATGGCAACAACGGGTAACTAAGCAGTTTCTTGAAAATTTTCCTCTATAAAACTTGTTACCTGTTGTCAAAGAGGACTTGGAATGGTTTTCAATCAACGTTAACGCAAAACAGAGTCATGTTACGGGCGGGTTATTCGTTCTGCCATCTCTTAAATCGCCATCTTAATACCACAACCAGAAGTCTCTGTTGAGACTGAAGCTCTACTGGTTTGTACTTATAGCAAAGGAAGAGAAAGGTACTTAAGCAGTTGGAAATTGAAACTTTTCAACAGCAATAAATAGAATAATGATCCTTGACTAAGTCTCTTTATGTTCTTAGTGCAGTCTACTTGCATGCCACATTTATATTATAATCAGACTAAAATTGTATTTGGAGTAGCATTTTGAAAGAATTTCACAGAAATTTCTATTTTTAGTAACCACGGCAACACCGTTCATCGAAATCAAAAACCGATACACAGAATTATGTACCTTATTGTAGTCTACTTGTGTGCCAAGTTATATTGAAATCAGACTAAAACTGTAGAAGGAGTAGCATTTTGAAAGAATTTCACAGAAATTTCTATTTTTAGTAACTACGGCAACACCGTTCATCGAAATCAAAAACTGATACACAGAATTGTGTATCTTAGTGTAGTCTACTTGTGTGCCAAGTTATATTGAAATCAGACTAAAACTGTAGGAGGAGTAGCATTTTGAAAGAATTTCACAGAAATTTCTATTTTTAGTAACCACGGCAACACCGTTCATCGAAATCAAGTGTAGTCTACTTGTGTGCCAAGTTATATTGAAATCAGACTAAAACTGTAGGAGGAGTAGCATTTTGAAAGAATTTCACAGAAATTTCTATTTTTAGTAACCACAGCAACACCGTTCATCGAAATCAAAAACCGATAAA